ATATATTTATATATATATATATATATATGTATTGTGTTGCTTTGCACAATATGAAAGTTGAGATTCAAGATTCCATCTTCATCTCCGTCTCTTCAACAAGTTATTCATACAATTTATTTATATCTATATATTTAGTTTTTACCTTAGACCTCTTGAACTCTCATAAACATAAAAACGACCTGAGAAAACGCTTCTATTTAATTTTGTACATATATACTTGTACTATTCTTAAAGACAGCGTAAATGCGAATGACGGAATAAATTGCATTGTTGTATAAGAGTTATGAATCACATCAAAAGCATACCTATAGTATATTCTCATTGTTTTTAGTAATTTGATTTTAGAATTTTAGTTCCGCCTTTTGTCTCAAAGATTTCTAGAAAAATTCCTTTCTTTAAATTTCTACATTATTATTAAAATATTTAATAATAAAAAAGTATTTCAATAAACGAATGATCAGTTTTCTCATCAGGATTGCACGGAAAGAAAATTAAAGGAATTTTTAATATTTTACTATTGTAATCTATATTATTAAGAGAATATAGATAGATAATTAAGAAATGACCTTGTATGTTGTGAACTATTGACATTTTTAAAGATATAAGCTCATCCCGATGTTACACTCATCGAGACCTTTCATTTGAGTACCCACATCAATTTTTCATATATATATATATATAATACATATAATACATATAAATATATAAAAAATTGATGTGGGTACTCAAATGAAAGGTCTCGATGAGTGTACCTTTTGAAATATTGACATTTTTAAAGATATAAGCTCATCCCGACATTCCACTCATCGAGACCTTTCATTTGAGTACCCACATCAATTTTTTATATATTTATATTTTTTATATATATATAAATATGAAAAATATATCAAAAATGCATGTGGGTACTCAAATGAAAGCTCTTGATGGGTGTACCATCGGGATGAGCTTATATCTTTAATAACTTTAATTTTTAAGAAAGTCCAGTGAAATTTCAGGCAAAAGTCATTAATTAATAAAGCAAAATTTTATTTATTCATTTATATGGAGTAATTTTATAATCCTACAGAACAGTTTTTAATTTTCATCGAAATTGTCGAGTAGATTTCAAGTTTAATATTAATAAAATTAAATACACACATAAGATAATGATTGTTTTTTTTTTGTTATAGGTTCTGCACAAAATATCAGAAGTACTGGAGCCAGTTCTATCAAACTCACCCGACTCATTAATATCCAACCCAAATGCATTTCAATTCTTGAACCAAAGCGACAGTATTAACCTTGGTCAATTTAGAATAAGGTAATTTATTTTTTTATCATACTTCAAAGAGTTAAATAATTGCCTATAAATTTTCGTGTACTGAAATAATAAACTTTGCTTACAGAACCTTCCGTCAAAGAGTATTATTAAATAATAAAGAAGACATATTTAAAGCAGAGGGTGGTTACACATTTTTCATCCCCGACGAGGAAGGATTTAAGGTATTTTTAAATAAATAAGAGTTATTTTATTTTGCAACTTTTAAAGTTTACCCAAACTTACAAGCGAGTTTTTTTTTGCGGAAAATATAACATACGAGAAAATTTATTTAAAGTCTCGTTACGCAAACGTGGAAAATGCAACTTGGTAACTTGTAACTCGCATATAGAAAAATTTCATGTCAACGCTGGGAAATAAATACGTGAGGTGAATTCTGATGCGAATGTCAAAGTTACTTTTCAATCACATTTCAAATAAATTCGTAATGAAATAATGCAGTAAATTATTGTCCAATTTTTTTTTTATTCCGATAGTAATAATTGATTTTTTAAAATTCTGAATTGTTGAAATAAAAAATCCAAAAAATTAAACACTTTCTAAAGCTAAACGTTAACAAGAAATAAATTTTAACTGACATTATTTAACAAAAAATAAAACTATTTTCATTAAAACTAGGATAAATCTTTAGTATAAAAAATTCCCAACAGAGGTCGCACAGTCGCTGAATTTTCTCGCTAGCATAAGGTTTAAAAAAATGTTTAAAGTCAAATAAGCGACTCGAAATTTCATCTGAATATTAAGATCCTGTTAAGTCATATCAGAATTTTTTTTAAATCGATTAATTGCTATTTTTACATAAAAAAAGTCGTATTAATGGCTGGTGTGGATTTTTAAAGTTTTTATGGAGGGACAAACACGATAACTTTTGAAAAAATAAATTTTTCAACTCTATTTATTTTTTAATCTCTTCATCTGCCTTATGGGAAGTTGCGTATTGAAAATTAAAGCTTAATATTGTTTTGTTTAATTATAATTAATTTTTTTCGGCTGGCAGTTGGAGAAATTTTCTGTCCTTTGAGCAGCCATTTGTAAAAATTTATTTGTAAATACAGCTTGAAAACAGCTGATACTGTACTCAATTGTGTTCGCTGGCTGACCAAAGGTAATACAGTCTTTAATTGGTTCTTTTTTATGATTCACTTATCCGAACGAAAGAGGGCGTTCAATTCGTATGGAAAAAATACTCGCGGGAAAATTTAAACGAGCTTTAAAATTGAATTGTAAATAAAATTAATTTCTTGTAATTAACTTATAAAAATATTTTTTAAAATTTATTCTTGTAGTATAAAGCAGATAATTATTTTTCTACTTGATTTAAAACAAAGAAATTTTAAAAATTAATTTTATCAGTGAAAAAAAATTTTATCATTTTATTAAAGTTAATTTTTTCTCCGTGTAGATAAGAGGAAAAAAATATTTAATAACAACTATCATTAGTCTAGTTTCCGTCGCAGACAGTAGACAGTTAAGCAAAGAAAAAGCTTTTAAACGGTGAGTAATTAATGTGAGTAGGGTAATTAAATATTTGGCTTTTTACGAGTTAGAGTAATACCGCGTATAAAATGTAAGTAAAGATAGTCAGGGTACAGCAGAAACAGGAGTAAGCCGCTGAATCCACAGAGAGAGTGTGGCTTATATTAGTAGTTAAAGTTTATATAAAGGCAGACGTCGGAAAAGAGTGCGCGGACGTCGACAGTACAAGGATTACCAGTAAAGGCTAACTGTGCTATATTTGAAATAAACCTCCCCATTAAACTCACGCTGTTCTCTTGTTACCTTTCTCTGTTTCTATTTTTTCAAGATGATACTTGTACTTTTATGTAATTCTATTAATTATTATATTATGTTTTTCTTCGTTGCAGCCTTCGGTCAGACCCACCAAGATAGACCACCAAGTTATTGACGGTCACGTTATTCCAAACCATGTATTATTCACCGCACCGACGCCTAATGACAGACCTTACAATACCTTGGCTAATACTGATAATTTTAAAGTAACTATTAGCTTCGTACGTGATCCGGATAATTCTAAAAAAAGTAAGTAATTTTTATTATACACGGAAAAAAAATCCTATGAAAAATTACGATGGTAACATCGTAATCCAGGACTAGACTTTCAATATGTTGATTTTTACGATGCTGCCGTCTACAGAATACAATTTCAATTATTGAAAATTACGATGTTATTCAGTAAATTTTTTTTCCGTAAGAGCAAGTGAATAAGGACGCATACTATATGTTTTAATAAAAGAATGACAGAGTCCAGTACACGGAAAAAAAATCCTATGAAAAATTACGATGGTAACATCGTAATCCGGGACTAGACTTTCAATATGTTGATTTTTACGATGCTGCCGTCTACAGAATACAATTTGAATTATTGAAAATTACGATGGTAACATCGTAATCCAGGACTAGACTTTCACTATCTTGATTTTTACGATGCTGCCGTCTACAGAATACAATTTGAATTATTGAAAATTACGATGTTATAGTTTGCGACGCCACCACCGAAAGATGACCAACTTCTGTATAGAAGGTCTTATTATGTGACTGAACAGAAAGTATAAATATTCCCTCTGATGGCGTAAGGGGATAAACTTTGGGCTTATGGTGGAGAGGACACCGGGTTCAATTCCTACGGTGATACAGAATTATTTTTTCGGTGACCTAAACTTCTTATTAATTTGAGTGATAGAAATTTACGATGTTGCATCGTATAAATTACGATGTTTGAGTTCTGGTCCGGCACTACAATGTTCTACGCTAAAAATTACGATGTTTCCATCGTAATTTTTCGTACAATTTTCTTTCCGTGTACTAACAACTACACCAGAACAATTAATTTGGTTCAAATAAATATTTTTCTGCAAAATTGCACGCCTCATAAGCGAAGCGTTTTTTTATTTATTAGTCAAATAAAATTTAGTCTAAAAAAATTTTTCTAAAATAATCATCTAATATCAGAAGAGAGAAAATAAAAGTCGCAGTAATCGATTTCGTCGGGCTTAGGCTCAGAGGTGAGACTATCATAAAAGAGTTTTGCATAGGTTATGCAACCGCTCGATCAGTAAAAGCCGACTTACCGATATTGGTAGACACATCACATATTTTAATTTCTGCGGATTACATTTTTAACAGTAGAGCCTTCAAAAGGTTTTACAGAAAATGCAGAATAATTTGGAATCAGAGAAGTGAGTACGTTGACGGCGATCTGTTGATGAAAGTGTTTGATCTTCTTAAGTATTGTGACGTCTACGTGCGCGATAAAAAAACACGCTAAATTTCTAGTTGAACATTTCATATTGGATGGAAATCCATTTAAATTGTTAACCGATCTAGGTTATGATCCAAAATCACGGATCATGAAAACGAAATGCAGGAATCATTACAGCAGAAACAGTTATTGTACCCACGAAAATGTTATGGATACCGTTGTAAATTTTTATCTTCACTAAAGAAAGTGGTATTTTTGTGGAAAAATACCAAAGTTTAATCCGCAAAGCAATACGGACATTAAAAGACTTAATTGAAAATACCTAAAAGCAATATATAATATAATATTAATTAATTCCAGTGTACGTGAAGTCCAACACCCTCGTCGGGGACGCGACACATCCAACTGGAGTGGTGCTAGCGGAAATAGTGAAAGCCAACATTCCTGTTAAAAATGGCGTCGTCCATTTAATCCAGCGGCCGCTGATGGTAGTCGACACCACTGTCCAGCAATTCCTCGCGGTCAGTACTAATTTATTATTTACCAGTCCGACTAATTATTTATCATCGATACTCTGTTTGTCGATTACCAATTATAAATTACATGTGCACAGCTGATCTCTGGATAACTTGATTAGAGGGATATCTCTAAATTTTATCCAATTATGCAATTATCTTCTATATATCACTACCTAATATTCAGTATAAAAAAACAAACCAAACTAAACAAAATGCAACAACGCTGCATTACTGCACCGCCTTTGTACTTTGTTACAGTGATATATGTTTGTTTATTTACTTACTTATATTTTGAGTAAATAAATGGATATGTACACGTAATTATCAGCAGCAAAATAACAATAAATGTCTGCATCTTTGCTAGTGAAATGTATACTATCTACTTTCTTTTCTTTGCCACTAAATTATTTTTTTTTTCAGGATAAAAAAAAATATCAGAGTCCGCTAGTCCTTTTTTTTTAATTAATATTTAAGTCTTTTAATAAACGATTGATTAATTAATTAATTAATTAATTAGCTAGTCGCTTTTAATTTAATGGAAAATTTTTCTCAATTTCTAAAAAAACAAATTGACATTTATTCTAATTGTTCAATAAATAACTTATTTTGTGTTTAAGTATCCTTTTTATATACAGAGAATTTAAAAAATAATTTCTAATTATACTTATAAAAATAGTATGATAAGGAAGAACCCCGAGGAATAGTTAGTATATATTTATGTGTATAAAGTAAGCTCCCTGAGGCATTAGTCATTTCTGAAAGTCACTCTTCTTTGCCCAACAAGGTAACTTTAAATGTCTTTAACGATTCCCCTGTGGACGAGGCCAGTAAAAGCCTGGAGCTCCCTATAGGAGCAAGCAGTCCTCTTTTCCTCTCAGTAAAGACTCTTCTTATTTTATTTTTAGTTTATAAACACCGGGGAGTTGTCACTTCTTATTCTTTGCTTTATGAGCTTTTAGAAATTATTAATAACGGCGATTTTATGGCAAGGTGTTTATTTGGAAGTCATTTAACGCTTCTTTCCATCGTGTTAATTAATTGAAAAATTTTAAATTTTTAAATGAAGAAATAATAACAATAATAATTATAAAAATAAGCAACCTTGCAGTCACTACGTGACTTCCGTGACTTGTAAATTATAAATGAATAAAATTTTGATTTATTAAATAATGATTTTTGTTAAATTGCACTGTACTTTCTTAACTATTGAAATTTTCAAAGATATAAGCTCATTTTGATGTTACACTCATCAAGAGCTTTCATTTAAGTACCCACATGCATTTTTGATATATTTTTCATATATACAAATATATGATATATATAAATATATGAAATATATGAAAAATTCATGTGGGTACTCAAATGAAAGGTCTCGATGAGAGTAACATCGGGATGAGCTTATATCTTTAAAAATTTCAATAATTAAAAAATGATGTCATATCTTGTCACCTAATTATGTTATTGAAGATATAAGCTCATCTTGATGTTACACTCGTTGAGACCTTTCATTTGAGCACCCACATGATTTTTTTTATATATTTCATATATTTTATATATATGATATTTATGAAATATATAAAATATATAAAAAATTGATGTGGGTACTCAAATGAAAGGCCTCGATGAGTGTAATGTCGGAGTGAATTTATATCTTTAAAAATGTCAATAGTTCACAAGATACAAGGTCATTTCTTAATTATGTATCTAGAGATACATAATATTTGACAATAATATATTAACTTATTATAATATATAATTTATTTTATTAACTAATTAATATAATTTCTAGATTTTTTGAAATTTTATTATTATTATTAATTTTTTTTTTGCAAAAAAATTTTTATAAAAAAAATAATTGAATTAAATTTTGATGATAAGCGTTTAAATTTAATTTAAATATCAATGACTTTATCAAAATAAATAACAAATATTTAACATATAATATTTGACGTTTTAAATGTAAACATAAATTATTTTAGTTATTCAAATTTAAATATCAACAATTGATTGCGGCTATACAAAATTAAATACTATAGATGAATATTTAACGAAAATCGTATACTGTTTGGGGAAAACAGATTTTCTCTTGTGGTTTATTTTATGTTGCCCATTACTTCAGTCATTCGATAATCGACTCCCTTGGTAATTTCCTTCGTTTAATATTTACTAAACTAAACTACTAGCAGCCTCAACTACTGGCATTAACTATGTTACAGCTGAGATTTACAAATTATTAATGAAAAACGATTTGGGTTAATGATTTATAATAACAATTTAAATTGTTTAAATACTATTAATATAAATTTTAAAAATAATACTATAATTATTTTTTCCAAAAAAAAAAAAAAACTATAGATTACACTTTACTCTCAATAATTAAAAAGTGTTTCGAATTAGCACCAGCAATTTCTCATATGAATAATTAATTGCCTATAAAACAATTACCGATAAAAAAATTTAATTAACCAACTTTGAGCATTGAAATAAAAAAAAAAAAGTTATCAAATAAATTCTGGACGAAAGTTTCTCGAAAAAATATTAATATGCAAATATATACATATAAAAAAAGTTTAAAAAAAAAAAAAATTCCACACACTAAAGTAAAATCGGTGTAGGGCGGGTTTCATGAATTTATATTAGTGCCATGCGTCAGAGCCCAAAATGTACTTAAATGTATTCCGTAACAGTGTCTGTGAATTTATATCTGGATAGACTCACATATTACTCACCAAAGGACGAAGAAAAGAGAGCAAAAAAGCATAAAATAATAATAAAAATAGGTAACACGAGATAATAAGCCTTCCGTCCTGGCGTAATCGTAACAATGAATAAATAAGTGTGTGTCCGGTTGACAATTTATATTTTATTTTACTTTACTCTTTTTTTATTGTTACTCTCAGTTGCGGATACAAATAAAAGGCAAATAAAATAAAAAGTAATGTAAATAAAAAAAAAAAAAGGGGTAGGAAGTAGAGTAGTGTAGAGTAGAAAGAAAAGAAGGAAATAGGATACTAAAAAAAAGGAGCTATAAAATTCAACGTCACAATTTCTTTTATTTTTCTGTTTTCTGTTCGCTTCTTGTATGTTACGGATCGAACCCTCATTCTGGTTTCTCTGGTTTCTCTGAGCAGTCCTTCAAGGTAATTTTTTTTCATCACATTCATTTTTTTTGTTGTTTTTTTTTTTTAATCTTTTTTTCACGGTCATTTATCATTTTTGTGAACTAAACAGGGTGTCCGTGATTTGCTTCTAAAAGATTTTACACCCGAAATTTTTTTTTTTTTTTGTAAAGCCAATTTAAGACACTTAAATTTGTACGATTTTTTCTGTAAAGTTTAATTTTTTGGATAAAAAAAATTAAAAACATTTTTTTAATCTCACACTGATATAAGGATTTAGTACGGAGTATTGAACTAATTTAATAACAAAATTTTTAGTCATTTATTTGAGAGAAAAAAATATTTTTTGCCCGTTAATTTTATTTGTTACACGGAAAGAACAAGATGACACTGGATATCATCCCAGATTATACTCAGTGATATCTGCGATGATAAAATTTTTTTAGATAGTACCTATAAAAATCCAGATTATACTGCGTGATATCTGGATTATACTCACAGTAATCTGGATTATACTCATTGTAATCTGGATTATACTAGCTACTATTTGAAATTTTTTTACTCAGTATAATCTGAGATGATATCCAGTGTCATCTTGTTCTTTCCGTGTACAGTTTAATAAATGATTTTTTTATTCTAAATAAATTATATATTAATATAAACAAAGCCTTATTATATCAAAATAAATATTTGTTTCCACCAAATAATATTTAGTAGTAGGTACTAAATATTTATTTGGTAAGTATTGTCGGTAGATGGCGATGCTTTAATTCCAATGTGATACATAACCTATTAACTGACTCAGATTATTTTATTCAGCTCAATTTATCTTCCAAATTTTTCAATTTGTCTATTATTGATACGTTAAAAAGTTGTTTAATTTAAAATTTTATAAATGTCTCTAAAAAAATATAATTTAATGAGATTATTTTCTTTATAATACCTTATATTTTTACTTAAAATTATTTATTTTAATTATTTTGA